ACATTTGTATATATTTAAGACATGACATACATTTGTATACATTTAAGACATGACATACATTTGTATATATTTAAGACATGACATACATTTGTATATATTTAAGACATGACACACAATTGTATATATCTCTTTAATTTGTTGCATAAACAATTCTCTGTCTCTAAGTTTGTACAATTCAAATTGTATTCGAAATATAAATTAAATTAATTAATTGTGATTAAATATTGATAATAAGATGTCCGAGGGGTCGGGGGGGGGGTGGGTGGGGGCGAGGGGCGTAGAGAGAGTGAGAGAGAGTCAAACAATCGGTAGTAGGGGGTTAAAGTACAGAAATGGTTGGAAAACCCTGAACTAGACAATCATCAAGCACCAATTTAAACGTCAGTATAGACCAGTCTTTTCCAACGTGGGGCCCCGGACCCACAGGGGGGCCATTTGATGGTTAAAGGGGGGGGGGGCAATTCGAAAATGAGCTGTCTAGACTTTGAAAATCAACCTTCTAGTGGGGCATTTGAAGGACAATCATAGTTGTCAAATTATTTCAGATGTAATGGTCAGTATAGACACAAAGTCACCAACTCAATGGTCAGTATAGACACAAAGTCACCAACTCAATGGTCAGTATAGACACACAGTCACCAACTCAATGGTCAGTATAGACACACAGTCACCAACTCAATGGTCAGTATAGACACACATTCACCAACTCAATGGTCAGTATAGACACACAGTCACCAACTCAATGGTCAGTATAGACACACAGTCACCAACTCAATGGTCAGTATAGACACAAAGTCACCAACTCAATGGTCAGTATAGGCACAAAGTCACCAACTCAATGGTCAGTATAGACACAAAGTCACCAACTCAATGGTCAGTATAGACACAAATTCACAAACTCAATGGTCAGTATAGACACAAAGTCACCAACTCAATGGTCAGTATAGACACAAAGCCACCAAATCAATGGTCAGTATAGACACAAAAACACCAACTCAATGGTCAGTATAGACACAAAGTCACCAACTCAATGGTCAGTATAGACACAAAGTCACCAACTCAAAGGTCAGTATAGACACAAAGTCATAAACTCGAAGGTCAGGATAGACACAAAGTCACCAACTCAATGGTCAGTATAGACACAAAGTCACCAACTCAAAGGTCAGTATAGACACAAAGTCATAAACTCGAAGGTCAGGATAGACACAAAGTCACCAACTCAATGGGCAGTATAGACACAAAGTCACCAACTCAATGGTCAGTATAGACACAAAGTCACCAACTCAATGGTCAGTGTAGACACACAATCACCATCTCAATGGTCAATATAGACACAAAGTCAGTAACTCAATGGTCAGGATAGACACCAATTCACCAACTCAGTAACTCAATGGTCAGGATAGACACAAAGTCACCAACTCAATGGGCAGTATAGATACCAAGTCACCAACTCAATGGTCAGTATAGACACAAAGTCACCAACTCAATAGTCAGTGTAGACACACAATCACCAACTCAATGGTCAATATAGACACGAAGTGACCAACTCAATGGTCAGCATAGACGCGAAGTCACCAACTCAATGGTCAGTATAGATTCCGAGTCACCAACTCTCTGGTCAGAGGAACACAAGGAAGTGAATCAGAGTTCAGAGGGTGGGGATTACAGAATGCCACGATCTTGATGACCATGACCCTGATGACCTAGACCTTGATGACGATCAGCCCAGCAAAAACATTTGTCAACCTGATTTGGAAATTGTTTGATTAATTCTTACACGCGCTTCCATTTCCAAACTTCTTCAGCGTCAGCCTGTGTACTCACTGCCTGCCTCACTGTCTGCCTCATTGCCTGCCTCACTGTCTTCCTCATTGCCTGCCTCACTGTCTGCCTCATTGCCTGCCTCACTGTCTGCCTAAATGTGTGCCTCACTCTCCTCACTGGTTCTGTCGGTAGAAATGAGGTACGAAGTCGGATACTGTAGTCGCATTCCAGTATCGTAGAGCGATGTCTTTAGCAGGAGTTGGAGTATGAATATATTCTCCAAAATTTCCATTTAAAATCAATTATTTTGATTGAAAACTTTGCTGATAAACTCCACTTGGATTGGCCTAGATAGTCAGTCGTCGAAGTGTAGGTCTACATAGCTAACCCATCGTCTCGCGAAGACGGAGCTATGCCATATATAAACTTCACAATAGTTTTTCTCTATCCGATCTGAATTCCAGCTTGATCTAGAGTCCAATAAATGGAAAACTATTTATTTTGAGCAGACTTTCAGGCATAAAGGTCAATGACGTTTCTCAGGGATAGTAATTAATGACGTAATGAGATGATGCATTTTTTGATTGGACAGAAAATTCAACCAACCGCGACACTTAACGACAGTGTGGAGAACTTCCAGCAATTAGAGAGTAAACACACACATCTACACAGACCTACACATACCTACACAGACATACACAGACATACTCTGAGACTCATAAAAACAAACACAACACATTACTTTCATGGATAGAAAGACTGTTTAATGTATTCTGGTTAATCGAAACTGTAGTAAACCATATTTCCATCGCTAATGTGTGGTGCTATAATTTAAACGTGTAATGTGCTCTACTCATTAATATAACATCGTTTATAATATCTTCTTAACACATTCTGGTAATTTAATCTATCACCAATAAGAAACATTTATTACATGTTACAAAATGTATCACAAGGGCAGCCTGACTTGTCAGGGACTAGACAAGTAGGAGGTATTCATCAGGTTGTTGGACGGTGTCTTGGGTGCACGCCATTCAAACACGGGTATCTGCACTGTCTGCTTACACAAGGTGTTTCCAACCGACTGTCTTGAAATACGTAACGTCTGTTTTTCAGTAGTCCGTTGAATTACAGTTACATTAAATAAAAGTCACAGCATGTCGTCGGCTACATGTCTTTAATTCTCGGTGCCTTATTTTCCATACTAGATTCGTCGTACTTTACTTCAACATAGTGGCAAGTTGGCAAGCAGTTCAACACGTTGACAAGTATTTCAAAACGTTGGCTAGCATTTCAACACACAACACGATTCACACTGATCAAAATAAATCAAACAAAACCACACCTGCTACGTGTCTGATGCCTTCTCTGGTCTCTGGATGTCAAGAATTGTTTTGTTCAGTAGACGCTCTCTGGTAACACAACAACCATTTGGAAGAAAGTGTACCATTGATAAGAAAGTGTACCGTTGATAAGAAAGTATACCATTGATAATAAAGTGTACCATCGGGAAGAAAGTGTACAGTTTTGAAGTGTGACACCCCCTCCCCAGTCAGAGGAACGCAGAGGTTTCTCCACTACCTCCATCGGTGTCGGGTGTCGATCTCTGTCAGTGGGACATGCCAGATGGATCATAAACTCTGACAGACAAAGTTATCACGTCTTGGTGGCACAGATAATGCATAGAAGAAGTAGTGTGGCAATTTCTGGAGAAGACAGTCACCAAGAGATCATAGACCCAACAACGCCTGTGCAAATGGTGGGATTCTTCAAAACCGTAAGTAAGGCAACCAACTCAATTGAAACAACTGAATTTAAACAACCGTAAGGCAACCAACTCAATTTAAACAACTGAATTTTGTGAAATTATTGTCTTTTTGTTCTTTAAATTAAGATGGCGTTTTAAAGAATCAAGTACCTAGGGTGTGTTCTTAAAGTACATAGGGTGTGTTCATCAAGTACCTAGGGTGTGTTCTTCAAGTACAAAGGGTGTGTTCTTCAAGTACTTAGGGTGTGTTCTACAAGTACCTAGGGTGTGTTCTGCAAGTACTTATGGTGTGTTCTTCAAGAACATAGGGTGTGTTCATCAAGTACAAAGGGTGTGTTCTTCAAGTACAAAGGGTGTGTTCTTCAAGTACTTAGGGTGTGTTCTACAAGTACCTAGGGTGTGTTCTGCAAGTACTTAGGGTGTGTTCTTCAAGTACAAAGGGTGTGTTCATCAAGTACCTAGGGTGTGTTCTTCAAGTACTTAGGGTGTGTTCTACAAGTACCTAGGGTGTGTTCTGCAAGTACTTAGGGTGTGTTCTTCAAGTACAAAGGGTGTGTTCTTCAAGTACTTAGGGTGTGTTCTACAAGTACCTAGGGTGTGTTCTGCAAGTACTTATGGTGTGTTCTTCAAGAACATAGGGTGTGTTCATCAAGTACAAAGGGTGTGTTCTTCAAGTACAAAGGGTGTGTTCTTCAAGTACTTAGGGTGTGTTCTACAAGTACCTAGGGTGTGTTCTGCAAGTACTTAGGGTGTGTTCTTCAAGTACAAAGGGTGTGTTCATCAAGTACCTAGGGTGTGTTCTTCAAGTACTTAGGGTGTGTTCTACAAGTACCTAGGGTGTGTTCTGCAAGTACTTAGGGTGTGTTCTTCAAGTACAAAGGGTGTGTTCTTCAAGTACTTAGGGTGTGTTCTACAAGTACCTAGGGTGTGTTCTGCAAGTACTTATGGTGTGTTCTTCAAGAACATAGGGTGTGTTCATCAAGTACCTAGGGTGTGTTCTTCAAGTACAAAGGGTGTGTTCTTCAAGTACTTAGGGTGTGTTCTACAAGTACCTAGGGTGTGTTCTGCAAGTACTTAGGGTGTGTTCTTCAAGTACCTAGGGTGTGTTCTTCAAGTACAAAGGATGTGTTCTTCAAGTACTTAGGGTGTGTTCTACAAGTACCTAGGGTGTGTTCTGCAAGTACTTATGGTGTGTTCTTCAAGAACATAGGGTGTGTTCTTCAATTACCTAGGGTGTGTTCTTCAAGTACAAAGGGTGTGTTCTTCAAGTACTTAGGGTGTGTTCTTCAAGTACTTAGGGTGTGTTCTTCAATTACCTAGGGTGTGTTATTCAAGTACATAGGGTGTGTTATTCAAGTACCCCAGGGTGTGTTCTTCAAGTACTTAGGGTGTGTTCTTCAAGTACTTAGGGTGTGTTCTTCAAGTACTTAGGGTGTGTTCTTCAATTACCTAGGGTGTGTTATTCAAGTACATAGGGTGTGTTATTCAAGTACCTAGGGTGTGTTCTTCAAGTACTTAGGGTGTGTTCTTCAAGAACATAGGGTGTGTTCTTCAAATACTTAGGGTGTGTTCTTCAAGTACACAGGGTGTGTTCTTCAAGTACCTAGGGTGTGTTCTTGAGTTTGAACTTTGTAACGTTAGCGTCGTTACAGAAGCACAACTCCTTCTGCCAGGAGACGCTAAAAGTGTTATTATGATTTTTTGGACATTCAATTTAAGCCAGTGTGTGTTCATTAGGGAAATAGTTACCCATCTATTTGCCCAGGGGAACTCATCATTGAATCATAATATTCGAATTTCGCATATCTATATTTCATCAAATGGCTTTTCCCACAAAGTAGTGAGTTTGAATTTCTTCAGGGATCTTGGAATGATCTCGTTAGCAGGCTCAACAGAGTCTATTCTTAGCAGGCTCAACAGAGCCTCTTCTTAGCTGGGTCAACAGAGTCTATCGTTAGTAGGCTCATCAGAGTCTATTGTTAGTAGACTCATCAGAGTGTATTGTTAGTAGGCTCATCAGAGTCTATTGTTAGTAGGCTCATCAGAGTGTATTGTTAGTAGGCTCATCAGAGTCTATTGTTAGTAGGCTCATCAGAGTGTATTGTTAGTAGGCTCATCAGAGTCTATTCTTGTTATGGGCGTCTACCATGAGTAAAAAAAACAACTAAACACCGAGCTCAAAATCGTCAGCCACATAGAGGTTAGTTCAGTTCAATCCAAAGGTTAGTTCAGATCAATCCAAAGGTTAGTTCAGTTAAACCCAAATGTTAGTTAAGTTTAACCCAAAGGTTAGTTCAGTTTAATCCAAGGTTAGTTAAGTTTAACCAAAAGATTAGTTAAGTTTAACATCAATGTTAGTTAAGTTTAACCCATAGGTTAGTTTAGTTTAACCCAAAGTTTAGTTAAGTTTAACATCAAGGCTAGTTAAGTTAAACCCATAGATTAGTTCAGTTTAACCCAAAAGTTAGTTTAGTTTAACCCAAGGTTAGTTAAGTTTAATCCAAAGTTTAGTTAATTTTAACATCAAGGTTAGTTAATTTAAACCCATAGATTAGTTCAGTTTAACCCAAACGTTAGTTCAGTTTAACCCAAGGTTAGTTAAGTTTAACCCAAAGTTTAGTTAAGTTTTACATCAAGGTTAGTTAAGTTTAACCCCAAGGCTGATGGTAATTGATCAAGGTTTTTAAGTTTTGTTTCTAATGTCACAACAGCTAGACAATTGATATTCAGACAGGCCAGTTGATCAAACTTCTAGTTGAGTGGAAAATTCAATCTTATGGGATTTGTTAATTTTTTTTTTTTTTTACCGCTGATCCGAAAGTAATTTATTTAGTTTTACTTTTAACAAAGGGATGTGTTGTCAAGGGACATGTTGACAAGGGACATGTTGACAAGGGACGTGTTGACAAGGGACATGTTGTCGAGGGACAAAAAAAACTAACATTGCGGTAAACAGAATAATTCGTTCTTCGAGTTCTCATAGTTTTAGTTTTATTTGAAGGATTTCCCCAGGTTTGACAATGAAAATGCAAATTTGAATCTAATTTGCTACTTTCATAAACCAGTGTACTGTAGGCGTCCTAGATTATTCTCGCCCCTAAATCTTTATTGTCTCCAGAAAATGTTTGATCAATTCAAAATACAAGTAGGCATTTTAGCGCACACCTGAATGTAGTTGTGCCACATTGTTCACTTCATTGGAGAGCAATTAAAATGTTAGACATTTTTAGGTGTCACTTAAGCTAATGTGAGCCCAGAAGCCCCCATAGCTTTAGGTGGTCTTGGATATTTTAGGGGTTTAAAGTTGTAATCTGGACACATTTTTAAACAATCAAATTTCAATATAAGTTGCTAGAAGACACAGCCGAAAAGTTGCAGGGGTCCTCGAAAAGTCAAGCGACGGCCCTGATTGTCCAGCGACCTGATTGTTTTATATACATATTTTTTATGTAACTTAAGAGTAATGGGACTTTATTTTTTATATAAAACAAATTCCAGATTGAATACTTTATTAATAAATACATTTTCCCACCAAAAAATACTTTATTAATAAATACATTTTCCCACCAAAATACTTTATTAATAAATACATTTTCCCACCAAAAAATACTTTATTAATAAATACATTTTCCCACCAAAAAATACTTTATTAATAAATACATTTTCCCACCAAAAAATACTTTATTAATAAATACATTTTCCCACCAAAAAATACTTTATTAATAAATACATTTTCCCACCAAAAAATACTTTATTAATAAATACATTTTCCCACCAAAAAAAAAAAAAATAAAAAATTTCCTCCCCAAAAAGGTTTCCATGAGAAAAAAATGACACCTGACAAAATTTGACATGTTGACAGCTGACAAAATTTGACATGTTGACAGCTGACAAAATTTGACATGTTGACAGCTGACAAAATTTGACATGTTGACAGCTGACAAAATTTGACATGTTGACAGCTGACAAAATTTGACATGTTGACAGCTGACAAAATTTGACATGTTGACAGCTGACAAAATTTGACATGTTGACAGCTGACAAAATTTGACATGTTGACAGCTGACAAAATTTGACATGTTGAACGCAAATGAGCAACACATCTCGTTGAATAATGACATTTTCTAAATATTTCCAAGTTTTACAAAAGGCGAAAATAAAAAGAAATAAGATTTTACAGGAAGGTGGATATATTTTTTATGGGTTTTAAAACTGTTAAATTATATTAAGAAGACATGAGTAGTTTACAAAAGACATGGTATATTTATTAATGCGTGATTTTTATCTGAGAGAAATCGTTTAAAAATAAAGTATTGATTTCCCAAATGGATTTGATTAAATTGTTGATTTGGAATATGAAACTACACTTTCTTTCTTTGCTGTACTTTAACAGATTTTGTTTGATCAAATCCAAAGAGTTTATTTTTGAACTGAGGGTTTAGAAATATTTCTGTTTTCTAAAAATAATGAAAAAATAGAATTGGAATGACAATCGAAATGCTAATTCACAGAAAATTTTTTAAAATTGTTAAAAAGCTTTTAACTGGATTCTCCCCTTTGAAAAAGTGCTTGTTAGATCACCTAAGGAAATTGCTTATTATAGATATAGTAACATAAAAAAGCAGTAAGGAATTTAATAAATATATTTTGAACAATCTCGGAAACTTTGTTACAAATTCGTAATTTTTATGAAACAAAATAATCAATTTTTTAAGTTTTCATTTTATGTAAGACAACATATAAAATTATGTTGATGTTAATTACTATATTTTAAGGCCTGATGCCATCATACAATTTGTAATTAACAAATTTCTCTAATTATAAAGTCATGCTTTTATAATGAACTATAATTTGAAAACAGATTGCACATGTTTGATACATAGAAAGAACTAAATTAAAATTATAGACCTTTATATTGATGTTTGATTTAGTTTGATACGGTGTTATTCAAGTCTTTAAACCTATGAAGTAGCACAAAAAAATTAAATAAAAATACTGATTTATGCAAACAACAGAAAGTAAGTCTTCGGCTTAAAATCAGGAGCGGCCAATTAGTGGAACGGTACGGAGATGTGCTTGAATGCAACACCGTACTGAACGATTGAATGTACAGAGAGATGCCTGAATGAAACACCGTACTGAACGATTGAGTGTACAGAGAGATGCCTGAATGCAACATCGTACTGAACGATTGAGTGTACAGAGAGATGTCTGAATGAAACATCGTACTGAACGATTGAGTGTACAGAGAGATGCCTGAATGCAACATCGTACTGAACGATTGAGTGTACAGAGAGATGTCTGAATGAAACACCGTACTGAACGATTGAGTGTACAGAGAGATGTCTGAATGAAACATCGTACTGAACGATTGAGTGTACAGAGAGATGCCTGAATGAAACATCGTACTGAACGATTGAGTGTACAGAGAGATGCCTGAATGCAACATCGTACTGAACGATTGAGTGTACAGAGAGATGTCTGAATGAAACACCGTACTGAACGATTGAGTGTACAGAGAGATGTCTGAATGAAACATCGTACTGAACGATTGAGTGTACAGAGAGATGCCTGAATGAAACATCGTACTGAACGATTGAGTGTACAGAGAGATGCCTGAATGCAACATCGTACTGAACGATTGAGTGTACAGAGAGATGTCTGAATGAAACACCGTACTGAACGATTGAGTGTACAGAGAGATGCCTGAATGAAACATCGTACTGAACGATTGAGTGTACAGAGAGATGCCTGAATGAAACACCGTACTGAACGATTGAGTGTACAGAGAGATGCCTGAATGCAACATCGTACTGAACGATTGAGTGTACAGAGAGATGTCTGAATGAAACATCGTACTGAATTGTACAGAGAGATGCCTGAATGAAACACCGTACTGAACGATTGAGTGTACAGAGAGATGCCTGAATGCAACATCGTACTGAACGATTGAGTGTACAGAGAGATGTCTGAATGAAACATCGTACTGAACGATTGAGTGTACAGAGAGATGCCTGAATGCAACATCGTACTGAACGATTGAGTGTACAGAGAGATGTCTGAATGAAACACCGTACTGAACGATTGAGTGTACAGAGAGATGTCTGAATGAAACATCGTACTGAACGATTGAGTGTACAGAGAGATGCCTGAATGAAACATCGTACTGAACGATTGAGTGTACAGAGAGATGCCTGAATGCAACATCGTACTGAACGATTGAGTGTACAGAGAGATGTCTGAATGAAACACCGTACTGAACGATTGAGTGTACAGAGAGATGTCTGAATGAAACATCGTACTGAACGATTGAGTGTACAGAGAGATGCCTGAATGAAACATCGTACTGAACGATTGAGTGTACAGAGAGATGCCTGAATGCAACATCGTACTGAACGATTGAGTGTACAGAGAGATGTCTGAATGAAACACCGTACTGAACGATTGAGTGTACAGAGAGATGCCTGAATGAAACATCGTACTGAACGATTGAGTGTACAGAGAGATGCCTGAATGAAACACCGTAATGAACAACTGAGTGTACAGAGAGATGCCTGAATGAAACATCGTACTGAACGATTGAGTGTACAGAGAGATGCCTGAATGAAACATCGTACTGAACGATTGAGTGTACAGAGAGATGCCTGAATGAAACATCGTACTGAACGATTGAGTGTACAGAGAGATGTCTGAATGAAACACCGTACTGAACAACTGAGTGTACAGAGAGATGCCTGAATGAAACATCGTACTGAATGATTGAGTGTACAGAGAGATGCCTGAATGAAACATCGTACTGAATGATTGAGTGTACAGAGAGATGTCTGAATGAAACACCGTACTGAACAGCTGAGTGTACAGAGAGATGCCTGAATGAAACATCGTACTGAACGATTGAGTGTACAGAGAGATGCCTGAATGAAACACCGTACTGAATGATTGAGTGTACAGAGAGAAGCCTGAATGAAACATCGTACTGAATGATTGAGTGTACAGAGAGATACCTGAATGAAACACCGTACTGAACGATTGAGTGTACAGAGAGATGTCTGAATGAAACACCGTACTGAATGATTGAGTGTACAGAGAGATGTCTGAATGAAACACCGTACTGAACAACTGAGTGTACAGAGAGATGCCTGAATGAAACATCGTACTGAACGATTGAGTGTACAGAGAGATGTCTGAATGAAACACCGTACTGAACAACTGAGTGTACAGAGAGATGCCTGAATGAAACATCGTACTGAATGATTGAGTGTACAGAGAGATGCCTGAATGAAACATCGTACTGAATGATTGAGTGTACAGAGAGATGTCTGAATGAAACACCGTACTGAACAACTGAGTGTACAGAGAGATGCCTGAATGAAACACCGTACTGAACAACTGAGTGTACAGAGAGATGCCTGAATGAAACATCGTACTGAATGATTGAGTGTACAGAGAGATGCCTGAATGAAACATCGTACTGAATGATTGAGTGTACAGAGAGATGTCTGAATGAAACACCGTACTGAACAACTGAGTGTACAGAGAGATGCCTGAATGAAACACCGTACTGAACAACTGAGTGTACAGAGAGATGCCTGAATGAAACATCGTACTGAATGATTGAGTGTACAGAGAGATGCCTGAATGAAACATCGTACTGAATGATTGAGTGTACAGAGAGATGTCTGAATGAAACACCGTACTGAACAGCTGAGTGTACAGAGAGATGCCTGAATGAAACATCGTACTGAATGATTGAGTGTATTAAAAACTATCACTAACAAATGATGAACTATTTGACATTGTATTCTATGAAAGGCACGCAAAACTCTGTATACATTAAGATCGCCTCTTTCCCAAAAATAGAATGAGAATCAATCTGTATTAATGTCATGGCCAGTAAAATGGTCTCATTCCTAAACAAGTTTGAGAATCCCTCTGTATTAAAGACATGACCAGTAAAATGGTATAATTCCCAAACACAGGTTGAGAATCCCTTTGTATTAATAAAATTACTTTTGGTAACTTTCATGACTGTCGTTAAATCAATTTGACAAGGGTTCTTAAATAAAAAAAAATTACACCTTACAACATAACCTGTCCACATCATGACAACACACGCCTAGAAATAGCATAACAGAACAGTAGTCTATCAACATTGTTTCAGCAATGCTCCACCAAGACCTTTTCCACCAAATGTCCATTTTCAGGAGTCCCAGCTGAACTTCGTGAAGAATTACAAGCAGCCCGATGAAGAGTCTGTCCAGACCCGTGACAGCGAGGACACCCAATCGCCGTGCCTGCGTCCACCCAAGAGTTTCTTCCGTATTTTCTACAAGTACGCGAGCAGGGCCTCCTTGAATGGGGTCATATTCATACTCCACTCCAAGAAGCCAGTCGTCAAGTTGGCATGGGTAGCATTGCTACTGGCAGCCATTGGAGCTACATTATTCCATCTCTATTAGTGAGTTGGTTATTCTATTTTTAGTCAGGTGTGATTGTCACTTTTGAGCTTTGTGTCTTATTTTTTAAGACCTTGTACACGCTGTAAGAATACAACTGCAGTTGTCTAATTTTACGATTGGGCTGTGGGTTTAAGCATCTTACTGGTGTGCAATCAGTAGTGGAAATAGGTTATTCGACTGTAACGGTTAGAAAAAAATTGTGTAAATAGGTGATTCGACAATATCGGTCAGAAATCAGTAGTGGAAATAGGTGATTCGACTACAGCGTCACCTTAAAACATTTCCAAGCTTTAAAAAAATCTGAATTATAAGCTGGCCCATTAAAAACAACTTGTTTGGTTTGCTTACAAGGATTGGTCAGCCATTCGATGAACCTTTTTGGTTTGCTTACAAGGATTGGTCGGCCATTCGATCAACGTTTTTGGTTTGCTTACAAGGATTGGTCAGCCATTCGATCAACGTTTTTGGTTTGCTTACAAGGATTGGTCAGCCATTCGATCAACGTTTTTGGTTTGCTTACAAGGATTGGTCAGCCATTCGATCAACCTTATTGGTTTGCTTACAAGGATTGGTCAGCCATTCGATCAACGTTTTTGGTTTGCTTACAAGGATTGGTCAGCCATTCGATCAACGTTTTTGGTTTGCTTACAAGGATTGGTCAGCCATTCGATCAACGTTTTTGGTTTGCTTACAAGGATTGGTCAGCCACGCGATCCACACGTTTCATGAAGTCTCATTCAGAAATGTTGCTTTAATTCAACTGGAGAGTTAGTGAAGTTGTGCTATTGTTCAACTGGAGAGTTAATGAAGTTGTGCTATTGTTCAACTGGAGAGTTAGTGAAGTTGTGCTATTGTTCAACTGGAGAGTTAGTGAAGTTGTGCTATTGTTCAACTGGAGAGTTAGTGAAGTTGTGCTATTGTTCAACTGGAGAGTTAGTGAAGTTGTGCTATTGTTCAACTGGAGAGTTAGTGAAGTTGTGCTATTGTTCAACTGGAGAGTTAGTGAAGTTGTGCTATTGTTCAACTGGAGAGTTAGTGAAGTTGTGCTATTGTTCAACTGGAGAGTTAGTGAAGTTGTGCTATTGTTCAACTGGAGAGTTAGTGAAGTTGTGCTATTGTTCAACTGGAGAGTTAGTGAAGTTGTGCTATTGTTCAACTGGAGAGTTAGTGAAGTTGTGCTATTGTTCAACTGGAGAGTTAGTGAAGTTGTGCTATTGTTCAGATGGAACAGAAACTTAGACAAGTACCCGATTTTTTATCAACGAAAAATTGTTGAATTATTGACCTAAATATTCACAGTTGCAGAAATAATGCACACAAAGACAGAAGATGCAACATGGAACAAGGAACATGCAACATGGAACATGCAACATGGAACATGCAACATGGAACATGCAACATGGAACATGCAACATGGAACATGTTTTCCTAAGATTGTGATCATTTTGTTCTTTTAATTTTTTAATACCACCTCTTTCAAACTGTTTTTTTTTCAACAGCCTTTTCTCTATCTTCTTCGAGTACCAAAAATACTCAAAAGTCAGCTTGAAATTCAACAGTCTTCAGTTTCCTGCTGTCACTTTCTGTAACATGAACATGATGAGGATGTCACAGGTAGGTTTATATTGACGTGATAAGGATGTCAAACGTAGGTTTATATTGGCATGATAAGGATGTCAATGGTATGTTTATATTGACATGATAAGGATGTCAATGGTAGGTTTATATTGACATGATAAGGATGTCAATGGTAGGTTTATATTGACATGATGAGGATGTCAATTGTAGGTTTATATTGACATGATAAGGATGTCACAGGTAGGTTTATATTGACATGATGAGGATGTCAAAGGTAGGTTTATATTGCCATGATGGGGATGTCAATGGTAGGTTTATATTGACATGATGAGGATGTCAATTGTAGGTTTATATTGACATGATAAGGATGTCACAGGTAGGTTTATATTGACATGATGAGGATGTCAAAGGTAGGTTTATATTGACATGATGAAGATGTCAATGGTAGGTTTATATTGACATGATGAGGATGTCAATTGTAGGTTGATATTGACATGATAAGGATGTCAAAGGTAGGTTTATATTGAAGTGATAAGGATGTCAAACGTAGGTTTATATTGGCATGATAAGGATGTCAATGGTATGTTTATATTGACATGATAAGGATGTCAATGGTAGGTTTATATTGACATGATAAGGATGTCAATGGTAGGTTTATATTGACATGATGAGGATGTCAATTGTAGGTTTATATTGACATGATAAGGATGTCACAGGTAGGTTTATATTGACATGATGAGGATGTCAAAGGTAGGTTTATATTGACATGATGAAGATGTCAATGGTAGGTTTATATTGACATGATGAGGATGTCAATTGTAGGTTGATATTGACATGATAAGGATGTCAAAGGTAGGTTTATATTGACATGATGAGGATGTCAAAGGTAGGTTTATATTGACATGATGAGGATGTCAAAGGTAGATTTATATTGACATGATGAGGATGTCAATGGTAGGTTTATATTGACTTGATGAGGATTTCAAAGGTAAGTTTATATGGACATGATAAGGATGTCACAGGTAGGTTTATATTGACATGATGAGGATGTCAAAGGTAGGTTTATATTGACATGATGAAGATGTCAATGGTAGGTTTATATTGACATGATGAGGATGTCAATTGTAGGTTGATATTGACATGATAAGGATGTCAAAGGTAGGTTTATATTGACATGATGAGGATGTCAAAGGTAGGTTTATATTGACATGATGAGGATGTCAAAGGTAGATTTATATTGACATGATGAGGATTTCAAAGGTAGGTTTATATTGACATGATGAGGATGTCAAAGGTAGGTTTATATTGACATGATAAGGATGTCAAAGGTAGGTTTATATTGACACGATGAGGATGTCAAAGGTAGGTTTATATTGACATGATAAGGATGTCAAAGGTAGGTTTATATTATTATGATGATGAAGTGACACTGGAAATCTGTGAAATTTCCTCATCAACACCAGGAACAGAAACATTGCAAATCCCATCTACATGCATAGGAGCCAAAATGATCAATAAATTGATCGTGGGCCCTTAAGATATAGAAGAAGAAGAAGAAGTCAAAGGTAGGTTTATATTAACATGATGAGCTTGTCCAAGGTGGGTTTATATGGATAAGGTAAGGATGCCACAGACAGTGTTCTTTCAGAAAGTTTCCTTGGGTGGGGTGGGGGGGATTTCAGACCTTCCACCGAAGTGTCATTTTGTCTTACTATGGAGAAGCGCCATTTTCAGACAACGACAGTTTGTATCGTGAAAGGGAGTGCGACAAACATATTTGGCTGCTATAGCGCAATAATACTAACTGCGCCCCTAGGCAGTGTATCTATCGTCATCGGAATTAGCAATCATTTTTATCCGAAAGTAGGCCAGAAATCGAGTGTGGCGATGACTTCCCCCTCCCTTCCCAGGAGAGCTTGACCAAAAGACACAATGGTCACAGGTAGGTTTATTGTAATGTCAGGTTGATGTCAAGTGTCATTTGACATTTCTCCCAGCTGAATATTACCCGGCGTAGACAGCCATTGTTTAGTTAGATGTAACTTGTTGACAACCATTGTTTAGTTAGATGTAACTTGTTGACAACCATTGTTTAGTTAGATGTAACTTGTTGACAACCATTGTTTAGTTAGATGTAATTTGTTGACAGCCATTATTTAGTTAGATGTAACGTGTTGACAACTTGGTGAGATGTCTTTTCACGGGTTGTTGAGATACTATTTCAGGAGGTGCAAGGAAATGGATAAAAGAACAGAGTAGGCATTTGTTTTTAAGAAATTTATTAAATGTTGATCTATTTTCAAACATTTCTTCATTAACATCTTTCCTCCTTCTCGAAAAACTGAAATCAGCTTAAAACGGGCCACGGAAGAAAAAAATGGTTGAGAACCGTTGTTCTAGTTGACGATAATGTCAACGGGAATTTATATCTACTAATGGGGTTGTAACATTTGTAACAAAGTTAGACCCTTTGTGTAGCAAGTTAGACATATGTAAAGAAGCTAGAACAAATTATTGGGTTGCAAGTATTACATACATTATGAAATTAGACCAAATTATCATGTAACATGTGTTACATACGTAATGAAGTTACACCAATTTGGTTATATATATAAATAATAAAGTTTATTTAAAAATCACGCTTCATCCCCAAAGGCTCGAAGCGCGGTACATAGTCTAGTATATTAAAAGGGAAATGAAACAATCTATAACATACCACATTGATATACAAAATGCAACATTGCAAAAACTAAATACGAGAATACCCATTCTAAGTCTTTCATATCTAAGAACCATAAACAACACAGGCCACTACACATCCACAAGATAATAGCTAGATAGACAACATCATCCCAGCAGGTGTTTGCAAAATAGATATGTCTTCAAATCAGTTTTGAAAGACTCCAGTGACTGGCTGTTTCTGAGAGTGACAGGAAGGATGTTCCAAATATATATATAACAATTGGGATGGAAGCAGAAATAAGAACTTTATTTCTGATGATTTGGTGGTGGTCATGTAACAACTCATGTGTGTAATTAAACAAGTGTGTCACCACTCATGTGTGTAATTAAACAAGTGTGTCACCACTCATGTGTGTAATTAAACAAGTGTGTCACCACTCATGTGTGTAATTAAACAAGTGTGTCACCACTCATGTGTGTCAGTATCATACAACTTAAACTCTTTTCTTCCAACACGATAGATAAGTAATGCATCCAAAGAAATACAGATACTTTTCTCCAATGACATCAAGGGTCCAACTAATGCCAGCTCACCTTACAGGTAATGATAATGGAATGGATTACATGAATAGCAGTGCAAGTTTTTAAACACTAATGTATACTTTTAAAAATGAGATTATATCTTTTAAAGGATATGTATACTTTTAAAAAATACGTATGCTTTTTAAACGATAGGTATATTTTAACGATATGTATGCTTTTTAAATGATATATAATATATATATATATATATATACTTTTCAAAAGATATATATATATATATATATATACTTTTCAAAAGATATATATATATATTTATTATGATAAATTTAATTTTAAAATGTTATGTAAACTTTTTAATAAGTTAATAATTTGGAGGTAAATTATAACTCGTTAAGAAAATTAAAACTATGAAATTATCAAATATAGACTACAGCTACTACTCACAATAAGATAAGAATATACAACTAAAACACGCAACAATATAAGAGTATACTACAAATACACACTACAAGAAAAGATTATCCAACTAATACACACAACAAGATAAGAGTATACAACTAATAGATACACCAAAATAAGAATACACAACTAATATACACAACAATATAAGACTGCACACTATTTAGATTTCTAAAGTTATATCTTTCAGATCTTAAATATTATTTTTTTTTAAAAATATCTTAGTAATACTTGTTATGCTGCCCCACTATCTCTGTAATACTTCTTTGCTGACCTAATATCTCAGTAATACTTCTTATACTGACCCACTATCTAAATAATAGTTCTTATACTGACCCCACTATCTCAGTAATACTAAGACTTGTTATGCTGCCCAACTATCTCAGTAATACTTCGTATTCTGACCCACTTTCTCAGTAATACTTCGTATTCTGACCCACTTTCTCAGTAATACTTCTTATACTGACCCACTATCTCAGTAATACTTCTTATACTGACCCACTATCTCAGTAATAATTCTTATGCTGACCCACTTTCTCAGTGATAATTCTTATGCTGACCCACTTTCTCAGTGATACTTCTTATGCTGACCCACTTTCTCAGTGATACTTCTTATACTGACCCACTATCTCAGTAATAATTCTTATGCTGACCCACTTTATCAGTGATACTTCTTATGCTGACCCACTTTCTCAGTGATACTTCTTATGCTGACCCACTTTCTCAGTGATACTTCTTATGCTGACCCACTTTCTCAGTAACACTTCTGATGCTGACCCGCAAAGTGAACCTAACACATATGACGCATCATTGCTGGAATGGGTACAACAGAAGGAGACCGCACTGTGTGAGGTAATACCAAAATCTTACTTAGTAATGAGACTGTCTCACTCCGCGTATAATGAGACTGTCTATCACTGTTTAATAATGAGACTTTCTAACTCTGTATAATAATGAGACTGTCTCACTCCGCGTATAATGAGACTGTCTATCACTGTTTAATAATGAGACTTTCTAACTCTGTATAATAATGAGACTGTCTCTGTGTAATAAAGAGACTGTCTATCAAAGAGACGTTCTCACTCTGTGTTATAAAGAAAGAGACTTTAGTGTTATAATGAGACTGTCTCTGTGTAATAAAGAGACTGTCTAACAAAGAGAAGTTCTCACTCTGTGTTATAAAGAAAGAGACTTTAGTGTTATAAAGAGACTGTCTACTCCGTGTTCTTAAAGGGACTTTAGTGTTATAAAGAGACTTTAGTGTTATAAAAGAGAGTTTCTTACTCTGTGTTACACAGAGACTGTCTCAGTTCATGGGTAATAAGGGGAGAGACTGCAATCAGGTTTAACATAAGTCAAACAAAGTAGGGTTAAACTTGAAAAAAAGGAACGCAAAAAAAAAAAAAAACAAAAAAAAAAACCCAATGAACTCTCAGTTCATGGGTAAAAAGGGGAGAGACTGCAAACAGGTTTAACATAAGTCAAAAAAAGTAGGGTTAAACTTGAAAAAAAGGAACGCAAAAAAAAAAAAAACAAAAAAAAAAACCCAATGAACTTGTCGGCAGGAAGCCTTCGCCGCGAACAAAACAACAGAAAAAACAGCATGAAAATAGCACTTAGCTTAGAAGTAGTATCCACGGGCAGCAAATGAATTTTTTCACAAAGTAAGTTAGTGAGAGATAAATATGGAAGAGGGAAAGAAAAGAGGAGAATTAAGTCTACTGCGATGGTCGGGACGTAGAGAGGCGGATCTAGGTTCAAGTTGTGAAAAGACACATGACATTCATACCATGTGATGTCAATGTGCCGTAAGTCAGGATAAGTCTGTGTTCCAAATTCACCCGGCTGAGTGTGTTCGTGCTAGCCACAATCGCACTTATTGAAAAGTCCGCCTTGCCCTGGTGGTCGCTACTATTGAAGTGTTTGGAGACGGGACACTGTTTATCTTGTGTAATGTTTGGGAGGTGTTCGGTACACCTGTCCGAGAGACGGCGTCCAGTCTCCCCTATGTACGTCATCAGGAAGTGGGTGCACACAATGGCTAAGATAATGTTGCGGCTTGTACAAAGGAAACCATCGTGTATCTGAAAACTGCCCTTAGGCAAACGTATGTTTTGAGCCTGGACGACAAAAGGGCACGTGTTGCAACGGCTGCGTCCACACGGCTTGGTCCCAAAGTGGGAGGGGGGAGCATTGATACGACTGCACACAAGGAGGTCTCTCAGACTTTCATCCCATCTGAAAACAATGAGAGGTGGGAAGAGAAAATTTCTTGTGTGTCTGCCAGTAGTATAGAGCGGTTTTAATGGAAAACACGTTTAGCTATAAGATAGTCAGCTATTCAGATTTTCCTGAAACAGTGGCTTTAGTTGTTATTGTGATTGTTTTGTTCTACATTTTTTTCAGCACTGTCACTATACTTTCAGCACTGTCACTACACTTTCAGCAGTGTTACTATACTTTCAGCACTGTCACTACACTTTCAGCAGTGTCACTATACTTTCAGCACTGTCACTATAATTTTAGCTCTCTTTGTCACTATACTTTCAGCACTGTCACTATACTTCCAGCACTGTCACTATACTTTCAGCTCTGTCACTATACTTTCAGCAGTGTTACTATACTTTCAGCACTGTCACTTTAATTTTAGCTCTCTTTGTCACTATACTTTCAGCACTGTCACTATACTTCCAGCACTGTCACTATACTTTCAGCTCTGTCACTATACTTTCAGCAGTGTTACTATACTTTCAGCACTGTCACTACACTTTCAGCAGTGTTACTATACTTTCAGCACTGTCACTTTAATTTTAGCTCTCTTTGTCACTATACTTTCAGCACTGTCACTATACTTCCAGCACTGTCACTATACTTTCAGCTCTGTCACTATACTTTCAGCTCTATCACTATACTTTCAGCACTGTGACTACTGCTGGGAACAAGGAGAGTTTGAAAACTCGTCACTCTACGAGGTGGATGATTATTTCATGTACATCTACAACAAACAGTCATTGTGAGTACACATGATTGTACATATACCACAAACAGTCAGTGTGAGTACATTTGTTAATACAAATACCACAAATAGGCAGTGTGAGTACATATGTTAGTACAAATACACCAAACTGTCAATATGAGTACATATGTTTGTACATATACCACAACAAACAATTTGAGTAAACTTGTAAATACACAACAAACAGTGTAAGTGAACATGTTTTTAAACCAGAGGCGTGTCCAGTCATAGCTAACATTCAAATTTAACCTTACGGGCGTATATATAAGAGTACGTAAAGTAAACAGTTAAACAATTTCATTTGAAAATGTTCATTAAATGTAATAGACTATTTATTGTTTATATTAATGGGCACGAAACAAAAGAACGCCAATTTCTGTAAATATACACATTTCAGTAACGAACACATTATTTTAATGTCAAAATAGGTAATGTTAACTTTAGTGATGTAAACTTTATTAATGTTAACTTTAGTTGTGTAAATTTATTAATGTAAACTTCAGTAATGCTAACTTTAGTGATGCTACCGTTAGTAATGATAACTTCAGTAATGCTAACTTTAGTAATGCTAACGTTAGGATTGATAACTTTAATAAGTAAACCTTAATGATGTAAACTATAGTAATTTAAACTTTATTAATGTCCGCAAAAGTAACGTTAACTTTTAAGCTCATATCGTTGTAATGTAAACTTTAGTAATGCTTACTTTAGTGATGTAAACTTTAGTAATATTTATTTTTAGTAATCCTAATTTTAGTAATGGAAACTTTATTAATGACAACTTTACTAATGCCAACTTTAGTACTGTAAACTTTATTATTGCTAACTTAAGTAGTGTTAATTTTATGAATGTAAACTTAAGTAATGCTAACTTTAGTAATGCTAACTTTAGTAAAGTAAAATTTAGTAATGTTAATTTTTAGTAATGCTAACTTTAGTAATGGAAACTTTGATAATGACAACTTTAGTAATGGCAACTTGAGTAATGCTAACTTTAGTATGGTTAACTTCATTAATGTTAACGTTAGTAATTTTAACTTTAGTAATGTAAACTTTTGTAATGTAAGCGTTAATAAAGTTGGTGTAGTAATGCTAAATTAGTAATGCTAACTTAAGAAATGTAAACTTTAGGAATGTAAACTTTAGGAATGTTAACTTCATTTAAGTTAACTTTCAGGATGCTACTTTAATAATTTATATTTAGTAATGCAAACTCATGGTAAATGTATTTTTACAGAGATCAGCGTAAGCTTCTTGGTCACCAACTTGATGGCATGCTCAGAATGTGTTCATTTGCTGAACGGCCGTGTAGCTCTAAGTAGGTCACTACTGCGTGCATTTTCTTTTAAATTCTTACACTTGCATACCAAGTGTGTAATCCTTATGTAGATAATGCATTAGACAAGGTTTCCTTATAGTTTTCAATAGTTTCTGCTCGACTTCAAATTTTTAAAAATTATTTCTCGCACGCCCTACAAATTGTTTGACTAAGTTCCGCACACCCTACAAATTGTTTGACTAGTCCCACACATCCTAATATTGTTTGACTAAGTTCCGCACATCGTAAAATTGTTTGACTAGTTTGATGCTACTGATCACGTAATTTATTGTTACATAGATGATGCTACTGATCACATGATTTATTGTTACATAGCTGATGCTACTGATCACATGATTGATTGTTACATAGCTGATGCTACTGATCACATGATTTATTGTTACATAGCTGATGCTACTGATCACATGATTTATTGTTACATAGCTGATGCTACTAATCACGTGATTGATTGTTACATAGTTGATGCTACTGATCACATGATTGATTATTACATAGCTGATGCTACTGATCACATGATTGATTATTACATAGCTGATGCTACTGATTACATGATTGATTATTACATAGCTGATGCTACTAATCACGTGATTGATTGTTACATAGCTGATGCTACTAATCACGTGATTGATTGTTACATAGCTGATGCTACTGATCACATGATTGATTATTACATAGCTGATGCTACTGATCACGTGATTTATTGTTACATAGCTGATGCGACTGATCACATGATTTATTGTTACATAGATGATGCGACTGATCACGTGATTTATTGTTACATAGCTGATGCTACTGATCACGTGATTTATTTTTACATAGATGATGCGACTGATCACGTGATTTATTGTTACATAGATGATGCGACTGATCACGTGATTTATTGTTACATAGCTGATGCTACTGATCACGTGATTTATTGTTACATAGATGATGCGACTGATCACGTGATTTATTGTTACATAGCTGATGCTACTGATCACGTGATTTATTTTTACATAGATGATGCGACTGATCACGTGATTTATTGTTACATAGATGATGCGACTTATCACGTGATTTATTGTTACATAGATGATGCTACTAATCACGTGATTTATTGTTACATAGATGATGCGACTGATCACGTGATTTATTGTTACATAGCTGATGCTACTGATCACATGATTGATTGTTACATAGCTGATGCTACTGATCACATAATTTATTGTTACATAGCTGATGCGACTGATCACAAGATTGATTGTTACATAGCTGATGCTACTGATCACATGATTGATTGTTACATAGCTGATGCTACTAATCACGTGATTTATTGTTACATAGCTGATGCTACTGATCACATGATTGATTGTTACAGATTATTTCTACCCAACCTGTCGGCGAAGTATGGAAACTGTTACACTCTGGAGGGGAAAGATTTTATCTCCCACAAAAGTGGACCTACAGGTGGTAAGTATGACGTACCACAGAGTAGACTTATCCTATTCATTGGATGAATTGGCATATATATCAATAGTTCTCCAAACATTTTCTGACAACCGCCCCCTCCCCCCATTGTCCCATAAAGTAAACCAAGTGCGCCCCCCCTGCGCCCCCCACTCTTTCCGCTTTTAAAGGGACATTCTTGACCTCAACAAATTTGAGAGATGTTTTCTATGCTTTGAAAGAGTTGCCATCATTAATTTCATTTACTATCCAGAGAAAAGAAACTACTAGTTTCAAATGTCTGTGTCAAGTTCACGTGCCAAGTTCACGTGTCAGGTTCACGTGGCAAGTTCACGTGGCAAGTTCACGTGTCAAGTACACGTGGCAAGTTCGCGTGTCAAGTTCACGTGTCAGGTTCACGTGTCAGGTTCGCGTGCCAAGTTCACGTGTCAAGGTCACGCGTCAAGTTCATGCGTCAAGATCACGTATCAAGATCACGTGTCAAGTTCACGTGTCAAGTTCACGTGCCATTTTCACGTGTCAAGTTTACGTGCCAAGTTTACGTGTCAAGTTCAAGTGGCAAGTTCACATTGCAAGTTCACATGTCAAGCAATGTTTTTAAATTGTTTTAAATGTCTGTGCCCAGAGCATATGCCTTGCAATGTGTGTTAACAAAATCTGTTGTCTGGTCAAACTCTAAAGAACATTATTAATTTTTGTCTGTTCAAAGAGGTTCCTTTAGTATCGATAAAAGGAAGTTGATTGGAGTTTGTCATTCTTTTTGAAATTTGAACGAAACTACTGTTCCGTCTATTTCTTCAGTTCCGTCTGTTCCGCCAGTTCCGTCTTCCTGTATCTAGAACGTACTTCTGTTTACCCTGACTGCTGTCAGTTGGAAACTGACATATAAATTATGGCTTCATAGGTAGCGAGACATACAAATTATAGCTTCATTGGTAGCCAGACATAAAAATTGTATGTTTATTGGTAGCTGATATAAAAATTATAAATCATTTTTAATAAGAAAAATGTCGATCTATAAAATATTTAAAAAGTCATCTCCCAGTGCCTCCTATGATAATCCCTTGAGAACCACTGGATTGATGACACTTTTGTCCAATGAACTCACTTTCCAGGTTCATAATAAAACAATGACCACTCAAGTGCATAATGTATATTAGGATTGACCTTCAAACTAGGATTAACCTTGACCTTCTTCTAAAACCGTGGGACACTATACAAATGCAACATTTCAATTGTTTAGTTGCACCCTTCCTTTCAGGTTTTCTTATTCATTACTTTGCTCCTTCATTACTTTGCTCCTTCATTACTTTGCTCATTCATTACTTTGCTCCTTCATTACTTTGCTCATTCATTACTTTGCTCATTCATTACTTTGCTAATTCATTACTTTGCTCATTCATTACTTTGCTCATTCATTACTTTGCTCATTCATTACTTTGCTCATTCATTACTTTGCTCATTCATTACTTTGCTCATTCATTACTTTGCTCATTCATTACTTTGCTCATTCATTACTTTGCTAATTCATTACTTTGCTCATTCATTACTTTGCTCATTCATTACTTTGCTCATTCATTACTTTGCCCATTTATTACTTTGCCCATTCATTACTTTGCACATTCATTACTTTGCTCATTCATTACTTTGCTCATTCATTACTTTGCTCATTCTTTACTTTGCTCATTCATTACTTTGTTCATTCATTACTTTGCTCATTTATTACTTTGCTCATTCATTACTTTGCTCATTCATTTCTTTGCTCATAACATTTCAATCCAATTGAGTAAAAAATGTTATTATATTTTTAGTAGCAAGTCATAGAACGGTACAATGCTACTTTGATGGGGTTGTAAAATGACGGAAAATTGTGATAATAAGATCTTGGTACACTTTGATGCCTATGTGTATGTCTATGTCTATGTCTAGGCCTCGAGTTAATCCTGTCCGTTGAGAGGGATGAGTACATGCCAATCATCAGTTCCAGTGTCGGAGCACGTGTCATCATTCACGAGAGAAGAACGCCACCTTTCCAAGACCAGAACGACTTGGCCATCAGTCCAGGCATGCATACAATGATCTCATTAAAACAGGTATGGACTGGTCATTTCGCTTACCTGGGATGGACTCGTTAGTCCAGGCATGCACACAATGATCTCATTAAAACAGGTATGGACTGGTCATTTCGTTTACCTGGGATGGACTGGTTAGTCCAGGCATGCACACAATTATCTCATTATTTATTAATATTCACGATTATCTCATTTTTATAAAAAGAATGTAAATATTGATACTTTTCCCCATCATTTTTGATAATATCCCAGCCGAGTTGATGAAACAAGGAGGAGAAGCAATGATAAGTGCCCTATTCAATATTTGTAACAAAATCTGGCCAAACCATGGGCCCAATCGCTCATCGTCACCCTCCCCCAAAAAGGTAACCTACAGCTATGTCAAACTATCACAAAATTAGCCTAATAAGCCATCCAAGCAAGGTCATGCTGAAGATCATATTGAACCGACTAAAACCATATGCCAACAGAATCATTGCTGAAGAACAGGCGGGCTTCAGACAAGGACGTGACACTACTGAGCAGATCCTAAACCTCCAAATACTATGTGAGAAATATGCTCAACACCAACAAAATCTATACCACGTCCTTGTTGACTTCAAGAAAGCATTCGACAGGGTTTGGCATGCTGCTTTATGGGCCACCTTGAGGCACTACAACATCAACACAAACCTAACCAGCATGATATGCTACCTCTATGATTAGGCCACCAGTGCAGTCTTCCTCAACAACAACATCGGAGAATGGTTCAAGACCACGGTTGGAATACGACAAGGCTGCCTGCTCTCCCCCACCCTGCTCAACATCTTCCTAGAGATAATTATGTCAGATGCTCTTGAAGCGCATGAAGGGACAGTCAGCATTGGTGGCAGAACAATCACCAACCTACGCTTTGCGGACGACATAGACGTGCTGGCTGGGAACGAAGAAGAGCTAGCCGACCTGGTAAAGCGTCTCGATAAGACCTCGTCGTCCTACGGCATGCTAATCAGTGCCGAAAAGTCAAAACTGATGACAAATAACACCACAGGCATCACCAATGAAATTAAGGTCGGGGAGGAAAAATTAGAGACTGTAGGCCACTTCAAATACCTAGGAGCAATAGTCTCAGAAGAAGGCCCCAGCCCCGAACTGATGTCCAGGATTGCTCAGACTACAACAGCATTAAAGAAGCTCAAGAAAATGTGGAATGACAAAAATATAGCCCCCAGCACCAAAATCAGGCTGATGCGCTCATTAGTCCTCTCCATTTTTCTGTATGCCTGCGAGTCCTGGACATTAACAGCCGATCTTAAAAGGAAAATAAAGGCGATGGAGATGAGATGCTTCAGAAGCACTTTTGGCATCTTCTATAGGGACCATATCTCCAATGATACAGTGAAAGAAAGGGTTCGTCAGGCAATTGGGGAGTACGATGACCTACTCGTGACTGTGAAAAAATGCAAACTACAGTGGTACGGCTACGTAACCAGGAAACAAGGGCTTGCCAAAGAAATAATGGAGTGCACCACAAGAGGAGGGAGAAGAAGAGGAAGACAAAGAAAAAGATGGGAGGATAACATCAAAGAGTGAACAGGACTAACACTGGTCGATGCAGTACGTAGTGCAGAAGACAGAGACGAATGGAGGAGGATGGTTCACATGTCATCTGTGGCGCCCCAATGGTCCAAGGACTAAGGGACATGACAGTGATGATGAAATATTTAATTTTCGGTTACGGCTTTGATTTCGGCCGAAAGTCATTTTTAAATTTCGGCCTATTTTCGGTTGCGGCCGAAATCAGAAAATCACTTTCGGTCGGTCTCTAGACTGGTCATTTTGATCACCTGCTAACCTGTGACCGATCCTACGACAGCATTTTTCAAGGGGTGTGGACCATACATTCGTGTTCCATGCATCACTTTCTCAGTCAGTTGTACGTCACATTCGTGTTCCATGCATCACTTTCTCAGTCAGTTGTGCGTCACATTCGTGTTCCATGCATCACTTTGTCAGTTAGATGTACGTCACATTCGTGTTCCATGCATCACTTTCTCAGTCAGTTGTACGTCACATTCGTGTTCGATGCATCACTTTCTCAGTCAGTTGTACGTCACATTCGTGTTCCATGCATCACTTTCTCAGTCAGTTGTACGTCACATTCGTGTTCCATGCATCACTTTGTCAGTTAGATGTACGTCACATTCGTGTTCCATGCATCACTTTATCAGTTAGATGTACGTCACATTCGTGTTCCATGCATCACTTTGTCAGTTAGATGTACGTCACATTCGTGTTCCATGCATCACTTTCTCAGTCAGTTGTACGTCACATTCGTGTTCCATGCATCACTTTGTCAGTTAGATGTACGTCACATTCGTGTTCCATGCATCACTTTGTCAGTTAGATGTACGTCAAGTTTGTGTTCCATGCATCACTTTTTCAGTTAGATGTACGTCAAGTTTGTGTTCCATGCCTTACTTTGTTAGTTAGATATACGTCACATTTGTGTTCCATGAGTCACTTTGTCAGTTAGATGTACGTCACATTTGTGTTCTATGCATCACTTTGTCAGTTAGATGTACGTCACATTTGTGTTCCATGCATCACTTTGTCAGTTAGATGTGCGCCCCTGAATTCGTCTTAGAATAAATGAAATACAACTCACGTACTCCCTGGTACCGTTTCACGGACCCCTCCGAGGAACAAAAGGTTAAGAACCCCTGCTCTATATCATTTCTTATATTAACTCAAAGCTCTGTGGCCATGGGAGAAAGTACAAGACATTGTGTTCTTTAAAAATATCAAGTCAAATAATTGTAGGCATGACAAATACTTTCAAAGCTGTATTGATTCTAAATATTATGTCTACAACAAGTTTCACGATTCCTTCAGACATGTTCGTTTTTTTGTTTCTGCTATAGAAGATTTTCTTGAACGGTATGACCTGATTTAAAAAAAGGGGGGAAACTATCTTTGATCGTTTAATGGGGGTGGTAGGGGTTGGGGGTGACCGTAGCCACTCATTAAAATGAAAATGAAACCTATGTAATATGTCATTAAAAACTGGTAACTTAAACATCTATCTATGATAACAATAATAATAACAATAACAATAATAATAATGAATAGGGTCTGTCCCAAACGGGACGGAACTTATGAAAATCATGTGAAACGTCAGTATCACAATAATCACTTCCCTTTGGAAAGATAACTGGGGTTTTTCATACAAATTATTTCCTCAATACTTCCAGCGCCATCTGAAGTATTTTCTCAGTTATGGTTTGATCACAAAGTATTTTAAACGAGAAATGGTATGATGCATCCTAAAGATCATGATAAACGGTGTATACATGGAGCGCCATCTGGATTTATTATTAGATTATACCCAACTCCCATATTTTACAGTCGCACCGTGTTTCCTTTGCCCAATCTAGTAAACACAACGTGGTTCAGTTGCCCTAACTAGTATGCACAAAGTGGTTCAATTGTCCTAGCTGGTATGCACAAAGTGGTTCAGTTGCCCTAGCTGGTATGCACAAAGTGGTTCAATTGCCCTAGCTGGTATGCACAAAGTGGTTCAATTGTCCTAGCTGGTATGCACAAAGTGGTTCAGTTGCCCTAGATGGTATGCACAAAGTGGTTCAATTGTCCTAGCTGGTATGCACAAAGTGGTTCAGTTGCCCTAGCTGGTATGCACAAAGTGGTTCAATTGTCCTAGCTGGTATGCACAAAGTGGTTCAGTTGCCCTAGCTGGTATGCACAAAGTGGTTCAATTGTCCTAGCTGGTATGCACAAAGTGGTTCAATTGTCCTAGCTGGTATGCACAAAGTGGTTCAGTTGCCCTAGCTGGTATGCACAAAGTGGTTCAGTTGCCCTAGCTGGTAGGCACAGCTTGCTTCCTTTGCTCTTGCTAGTTCAAGTATAATTTGTGTGATTACATTTTTAAATCTATTTTCTTCCAGGTTCAGATTCGACGTATTGGGGTGCCCTATTCCCCCTGCGAGCCAGATACGACGTCAGCACAGACCAATGAATACCGCTACACCACAAGCGTTAGTATTGTCTGATTTTGTCTTATGGAGTCTTATATTGTCTTATGGAGTCTTATATTGTCTTATGGAGTCTAATAGTGTCCTACATTGTTTTATGTTGTCATGCATCATCAAAACTTACTACCGGTAATGTTAGTTTTGTCCAACATCATGATGTCCATGCTATTTTAGGCAATGAATATTGATACATTCTTTTCTACTAGAAAAATACTTTGATCCTCAAATATATGGTGCAATGTATACTTTGATCATCAAATATATGGACTTAAATTTACAATAGAGTAATGACCTTCTACCTCTATGTGATATAGACTGATTTCGTTTTAACGACTAGATTCATTCTGCCCCCCCCCTCTCTCTCTCTCTCTCTCTCTCTCTCTCTCTCTCTCTCTCCCTCTCTCCATCCCACGTTCATACACAATAATATGTATACTTTGATAATCAAATATATGGACTTAAATTTACAATAGAGTAATGACCTTCTACCTCTCTGTGATATAGACTGATTTCGTTTTAACGACTAGATTCATTCTGCCCCCCCCCTCTCTCTCTCTCTCTCTCTCTCTCTCTCTCTCTCTCTCTCTCACTCTCTCAATCCCACGTTCATACACAATAAGACATACAACTAGCTCGGCTGACAATGTCATGATTACATGTTTTCTAAAATGATTCGTCCAAAAAAGAATTTCTTCACGATAAATGACGTTTCGAAAAACAAATTGTTGCGTTAATTTCGTGATCTATGATTTATATATTAAGTTAAAACGTTAATTTTGTGATCTATAATTTATATTAGAAATTAAAACGTTAATTTTGTGATCTATGTTTTATATAATAAATTTAAACCGTTAATTTCATGATCTATGATTTATATAATACATTAAAACGTTTATTTTATGTTCTAGGTTTTATATAATAAATTTATAACGTTATTAGTGTTCTCTGTTCTATATAATACATTAAAAGCGTTAATTTTGTGTAATATAATAAATTTTTGTTTTAACATTTTTCTGGTGTAAAGGTGTGCCAGAAGCAATGCGAGCAGGCGTATATCATAGCAATGTGCAACTGTTATGACTCTGATCTGACACTCGATGGGATTGATAACACCACTGGTCAGTGCATCAACAAACCAGGTAAACACAATGGGATTGATAACATCACTGCTCAGTGCATCAACAAACCAGGTAAATACAATGGGATTGATAACACCACTGGTCAGTGCATCAACAAACCAGGTAAACACAAAGGGATTGATAACACCACTGTTCAGTGCATCAACAAACCAGGTAAACACAAAGGGATTGATAAGACCACTGGTCAGTGCATCAACAAACCAGGTAAACACAATGGGATTGATAACACCACTGGTCAGTGCATCAACAAACCAGGTAAACACAATGGGATTGATAACACCACTGGTCAGTGCATCAACAAACCAGGTAAACACAATGGGATTGATAACATCACTGCTCATTGCATCAACAAAACCAGGTAAACACAATGGGATTGATAACACCAATGGTCAGTGCATCAACAAACCAAGTAAACACAATGGGATTGATAACACCAATGGTCAGTGCATCAACAAACCAGGTAAACACAATGGGATGATAACACCACTGGTCAGTGCATCAACAAACCAGGTAAACACAATGGGATGATAACACCACTGGTCAGTGCATCAACAAACCAGGTAAACACAATGGGATTGATAACACCACTGGTCAGTGCATTAACAAACCAGGTAAACACAATGGGATGATAACACCACTGGTCAGTGCATCAACAAACCAGGTAAACACAATGGGATTGATAACACCACTGGTCAGTGCATTAACAAACCAGGTAAACACAATGGGATGATAACACCACTGGTCAGTGCATCAACAAACCAGGTAAACACAATGGGATTGATAACACCACTGGTCAGTGCATTAAAAAACCAAGTAAACACAACAAACTATCTACAGTTACAGGATATGTCATTTCAATGGTCGAATCCTAATACGTTTAATGGTCATTTATATGATCAGTTTCATAGTCATTTATATGATAAGTTTCATAGTCATTTATATGATAAGTTTCATGGTCATTTATATGATCAGTTTCATAGTCATTTATATGATAAGTTTCATGGTCATTTATATGATCAGTTTCATAGTCATTTATATGATAAGTTTCATAGTCATTTATATGATAAGTTTCATGGTCATTTATATGATCAGTTTCATAGTCATTTATATGATCAGTTTCATGGTCATTTATATGATAAGTTTCATAGTCATTTATATGATAAGTTTCATGGTCATTTATATGATAAGTTTCATGGTCATTTATATGATAAGTTTCATGGTCATTTATATGATCAGTTTCATAGTCATTTATATGATAAGTTTCATAGTCATTTATATGATAAGTTTCATGGTCATTTATATGATAAGTTTCATGGTCATTTATATGATAAGTTTCATGGTCATTTATATGATCAGTTTCATAGTCATTTATATGATAAGTTTCATAGTCATTTATATGATAAGTTTCATGGTCATTTATATGATAAGTTTTATGGTCATTTATATGATAAGTTTCATGGTCATTTATATGATAAGTTTTATGGTCATTTATATGATAAGTTTTATGGTCATTTATATGATAAGTTTCATGGTCATTTATATGATAAGTTTCATGGTCATTTATATGATAAGTTTCATGGTCATTTATATGATCAGTTTCATAGTCATTTATATGATAAGTTTCATAGTCATTTATATGATAAGTTTCATGGTCATTTATATGATAAGTTTTATGGTCATTTATATGATAAGTTTTATGGTCATTTATATGATAAGTTTCATGGTCATTTATATGATAAGTTTCATGGTCATTTATATGATAAGTTTCATAGTCATTTATATGATAAGTTTCATGGTCATTTATATGATAAGTTTTATGGTCATTTATATGATAAGTTTTATGGTCATTTATATGATAAGTTTCATGGTCATTTATATGATAAGTTTTATGGTCATTTATATGATAAGTTTTATGGTCATTTATATGATAAGTTTCATGGTCATTTATATGATAAGTTTCATGGTCATTTATATGATAAGTTTCATAGTCATTTATATGATAAGTTTCATGGTCATTTATATGATAAGTTTTATGGTCATTTATATGATAAGTTTTATGGTCATTTATATGATAAGTTTCATGGTCATTTATATGATCAGTTTCATAGTCATTTATATGATAAGTTTCATGGTCATTTATATGATAAGTTTCATGGTCATTTATATGATCAGTTTCATAGTCATTTATATGATCAGTTTCATGGTCATTTATATGATCAGTTTCATGGTCATTTATATGATCAGTTTCATAGTCATTTATATGATCAGTTTCATGGTCATTTATATGATAAGTTTTATGGTCATTTATATGATCAGTTTCATGGTCATTTATATGATCAGTTTCATGGTCATTTAGATGATAAGTTTTATGGTCATTTATATGATAAGTTTCATGGTCATTTATATGATAAGTTTCATGGTCATTTATATGATCAGTTTCATAGTCATTTATATGATCAGTTTCATGGTCATTTATATGATCAGTTTCATGGTCATTTATATGATCAGTTTCATAGTCATTTATATGATCAGTTTCATGGTCATTTATATGATCAGTTTCATGGTCATTTATATGATCAGTTTCATGGTCATTTATATGATCAGTTTCATAGTCATTTATATGATCAGTTTCATGGTCATTTATATGATCAGTTTCATGGTCATTTATATGATCAGTTTCATGGTCATTTATATGATCAGTTTCATAGTCATTTATATGATAAGTTTCATGGTCATTTATATGATCAGTTTCATGGTCATTTATATGATCAGTTTCATAGTCATTTATATGATCATTTTCATGGTCATTTATATGATCAGTTTCATGGTCATTTATATGATCAGTTTCATGGTCATTTATATGATCAGTTTCATGGTCATTTATATGATCAGTTTCATAGTCATTTATATGATAAGTTTCATGGTCATTTATATGATCAGTTTCATAGTCATTTATATGATCAGTTTCATGGTCATTTATATGATCAGTTTCATGGTCATTTATATGATCAGTTTCATGGTCATTTATATGATCAGTTTCATAGTCATTTATATGATAAGTTTCATAGTCATTTATATGATAAGTTTCATGGTCATTTATATGATCAGTTTCATAGTCATTTATATGATAAGTTTTATGATCATTTATATGATACATTTCATGGTCATTTCTATGATCAGTTTTATCATCCTCTATTAGGTAAGTTTTATGGTAGTTTATAATCTATTCTACTCTAGATCACCAATGTCTTTAATAAATCAAACATCTTATTTATTCTAAATCAGATCTGCACAAACCAAAATATAAGATGGGCTCTAATACTTTATGAACAACATTTGCGGGCCGAAAGAAAATAGGACAGGGGGAAAATATTAAGAAAATAATAATAATAATGAATTTTTCGTTCCTTCGCGGGCCGCAAAGTGGGCGCTGGCGGTTCAAATGTTGTATGGGCCTGCTCTAGATGACCAATGTCTGTAGCAAGTTAAATGTCAAGACGATGTCTTCTATATATATTACCTAGATCGCCAGTGTATGTACAAATGACGTATTCTATCTATCTTATCTCGATCGCCAGTGTATGTTTAAAAGACGATGTCTTCTATCTATCTTATCTCGATCGCCAGTGTATGTTTAAAAGACGATGTCTTCTATCTATCTTATCTAGATCGCCAGTGTATGTACAAATGACGTATTCTATCTATCTTATCTCGATCGCCAGTGTATGTTTAAAAGACGATGTCTTCTATCTATCTTATCTCGATCGCCAGTGTATGTTTAAAAGACGATGTCTTCTATCTATCTTATCTAGATCGCCAGTGTATGTACAAAAGACGATGTGAGATTGAAAAGGACGACAACGCTTGTCGCTGCAACAGTCCATGCGGGTAAGCGAGATAACTATTGGTTAAACCTAGCCGACATTAGAATTATTTTCTCAGATACATGTTTACAAGCTTCCTTCAAATTACAAACATTGCTACCTATGCTACAAACATTGCTATTTATGTTACAAACATTGCTACTTATGTTACAAACATTGCTATTTATATTACAAACATTGTTACATACGTTACAAACATCGCTACTTATGTTACAAACGCGTTGCTTTAATTGGTGTGCTCTCAAACATTTTTTCAAATAAACCCCAAAAACAATTCATGGAACATGCAGACCCTACTTTTTAAAATTATTATTATTATCCATTTATTATGTTTATTACTACCAACATATGTGTCTGTGGACGTTTTCAAATTATATGTCTATGTATTTCTATTGCCAGTGAGACTATTTATGAGAAGACTATTGCTACCATACCATGGCCAACTGACAGCTTCGTTGTGAGTAGACTTGCTCAAATAATGCGATTTTAATTCCGTTAATGGGAGACGCCAAAGTTGAAGTTGATCAATAACACAAATAATTAGGATTGTATTTAGACATCCCTAATAAAGCTAAGAGTTTGTTCACATCTCTAAAGACGTTAAGAGTTTGTTGACATATGTGATAAAGTCACGAGTCTTCCGTCTTAACCAAAGGTAAACCAATTATTTTTCTCAAATAATCCACAGAACGCCATCTACCCTGAGATCTGTAATGGCCGAACTCAGCCTTCTTTTTGCAATCAAATGAACGCTTCTACCGATGTTCTCAAGTAAGTATTAGTTTCTATGTATTATTGGCCTCGTATCTTGGAGAAGAACCTGTGACAGGAACCACTCAACCGTGAATGTTGTTGGCGGTCAGGACCGTGCAAGACCATCTTTGACATCATTTCCTGTCATGTCAGGTGAACACAAAAACAAAACAACAACAAAGAAGCACAGATGTCGAGTTTGAAGATGTTTGACAAAGAGCCTCAAGCACTCTGCTCATAATGCATTTAGGCACCCAGTCATACTACTACAAGCAGTGACAACAGGCGCCCAGTCTCATACTACTACAAGCAGTGACAACAGGCGCCCAGTCTCATACTACTACAAGCAGTAGTCAAAGGCCAACAGTTTTGTACTACTACAAGCAGTAGTCAAAGGCCAACAGTTTTGTACTACTACATGCAGTGACAAAAGACGTCCAGTGTTGTATTACTACAAGCAGTGACAACAGGCGCCCAGTCTTGTACTACTACATGCAGTGATAACAGGCGCCCAGTCTTCCACTACTACATGCATTGACAACAGGCGCCCAGTCTTCTACTACTACATGCAATGACAACAGGCGCCCAGTGTTGTATTACTACAAGCAGTGACAACAGGCGCCCAGTCTTGTACTACTACATGCAGTGACAACAGGCGCCCAGTCTTGTACTACTTCATGTAGGGATAATATAAAATTTTCAGTGTTGAAATAGATCAATTAATAAAGATAATGTCTTGAATAACTGCTTTGAAGACAGTTTAGTATGTAAATAAAATGTAATGTTCTATTTAAAAAAAAAAACATAACAAAAGAACATAACAAGAATTCAATTCTTTATTAGAAACAAGATGCGATGAATGCATCACTTTGAACCCAGATCTTCACATTTGGAAGGAAAAAAATGTGAATTAAAAACTACTGATAACATGTCAACTTCAATGTTATGTTAGTATTTCTAGACTAGACCTAGTGTTTCAATATTCAATTTCTGCCAGTATTTGATATCGTTTGTGTATTGACATCTTGTGTATTGACATCTTGTGTATTGACATCTTGTGTATTGACATTTTGTGTATTGACATCTTGTGTATTGTCATCTTGTGTATTGACATCTTGTGTATTGACATCTGCAGACAGGAACTCTTTAAACTGAGCATCTATTTTGAAGATTTGAACTACGAAGAGTTGGTGGACCAGCCAAATTACGAGGTAAATATTCAGTTTTAGCAACTTAAGAAAGAGGGCCGGGGTTGGGGTTAGGGTTAATTAATTGATTTTACAAAATATTTTCTATCAAACTATCCGTACTATCAACCTATCTGTACTATCAACCTATCTGTACTATCAACATATCTGTACTTTTAACCTATCTGTACTATCAACCTATCTGTACTATCAACCTATCTGTACTATCAACCTATCTGTTCTATCTTCCTATCTGTGCTATCAACCTATCTGTAGTATCTACATATCTGTACTATCAACCTATCTGTACTATCAACCTATCTGTACTATCTTCCTATCTGTACTATCAACCTATCTGTAGTATCTACATATCTGTACTATCAACCTATCTGTACTATCAATCTATCTGTACTATCAACTTATCTGTCATATCAACCTATTTGTACTATTTACCTTTCTGTACTATTTTCCTATCCATAATATCTACCTATCTGTATTTGTAACCTATTTGTACTATCAACCTCTCTGTACTATCTTCCTATCTGTACTAATAAACCTATCCGTACTATCAACCTATCCATACTATCAACCTATCCATACTATCAACCTATCCATATTATCAACCTATCCATACTATCAACCTATCCGTAATATCAGCCTATCCATACTATCTCCTTATTATTTTATTCCACATTTCCATCTAGTCTTTTACTTACCAGAAAATTAATCTCTTTTACCTCACCTTGACAGAAATAATCTTTTGTTAAGTTCACAGTAATCATCTTTTGTCAACTTGACAAAAATCACCTTTTGTCACCTTCGCAGACATCACCTTTTATTACTTTCACAGAAATCTTCTTTTGTCACCTTCACAAAAATCATCTTTTTCGTCAGATCAGAACATCCCCCCTCCCTCGAAATCCCTATGTCAGTGCTACGCCAAAACATGAAACATCTCCCCAGTATTCATTCTCCCTAACCTTACCGGCTGACACACCCATTGACAACTGAGATGTCACATGAACCAAGTCGTCTCCCTAACCTTACCGGCTGACACACCCATTGACAACTGAGTTGTCACATGAACCAAGTCGTCTCCCTAACCTTACCGGCTGACACACCCATTGACAACTGAGTTGTCACATGAACCAAGTCGTCTCCCTAACCTTACCGGCTCCCACACCCATTGGCAACTGAGTTGTCACATAAACCAAATCGTCTCTCTAACCTTACCGGCTGACACACCCATTGACAACTGAAATGTCACATGAACCAAGTCGTCTCCCTAACCTTACCGGCTGACACACCCATTGACAACTGAGTTGTCACATGAACCAAGTCGTCTCCCTAACCTTACCGGCTCCCACACCCATTGACAACTGAGTTATCACATGAACCAAGTCGTCTCCCTAACCTTACCGGCTCCCACACCCATTGACAACTGAGTTATCACATGAACCAAGTCGTCTCCCTAACCTTACCGGCTCCCACACCCATTGACAACTGAGTTGTCACATGAACCAAGTCGTCTCCCTAACCTTACCGGCTGACACACCCATTGACAACTGAGTTGTCACATGAATCAAGTCGTCTCCCTAACCTTACCGGCTCCCACACCCATTGACAACTGAGTTGTCACATGAATCAAGTCGTCTCCCTAACCTTACCGGCTGACACACCCATTGACAATTGAGCTATCATATGAATCAATTCTTTTCTGTAGTCTAATCCAATATTGATTTATTTTACAGTTCACCAACTTGTTGTCAGACATTGGGGGCTCGATTGGTCTGTGGATCGGTCTGTCTGTCCTGAGCCTCTTTGAGATTGTGCACTTGCTGGTAGAGCTCATTCGTTACCTAACTTGCCGGAGATGGACGAAGACAGAGGCTAAAGGACCTGGGAGAAGTGAGCAATCTGTTCAAGTTCCCGAAGCAAATGAGGAGGACGTTAGTTTGGAGACTTAGTTTCATCTCAGACCAATCACAACTATTGAATTAAGTCATTTAATGAACTTGACTCATGACAGAGATCTCTGCAGTCAATACATCTTTGTTGATTTTTCTTGGTAATGAGTCAGCAATTCGAGATGTCAGCCAGTGACCTGCTTTTCAAAGATTTGATGTAAACTTCTTGTGTGAACACATAACTCTACCAACACAGAACACTTAACTCTACTCTAACAAACAGTTGTGCTCACTTGGAAACACATCGGATATCGCTTAATCATATGACAGACTTGTGTTATAAACATTGTCATTGTAAATTGCATTCTTGAAAAATAATTACTTCATATTTCGCAGATTGAGTCAAGAATGATTCGACTATTTTCACTGGTGATAGAATGACGTCATACATTGAACAGTTTCAATACTCGTATAAATAATACGCATTTTCTCAATATATTGTCTTCAAAACACATTGTCTTAAACACACATTGTCTTAAACACACATTGTCTTCAAAACACATTGTCTTAAAACACACATAGTCTTAAACACACAGTGTCTTTAACACACAGTGTCTTAAACACACATTGTCTTAAACACACAGTGTCTTAAAAACACATATTGTCTTAAACACACATTGTCTTAAACACACATTGTCTTAAACACACATTGTCTTAAACACACATTGTCTTCAAAACACATTGTCTTAAAACACACATAGTCTTAAACACACAATGTCTTAAAAACACATATTGTCTTAAACACACATTGTCTTAAACACACATTGTCTTCAAAACACACATTGTCTTCAAAACACATTGTCTTAAAACACACATTGTCTTAAAACACACATTGTCTGAAAATCACGCATTGTCTTGAAAACACATTGTCTTCAAAACACACAATGTCTTCAAAACACACATTGTCTTAAAAACACACATGGTCTGAAAAACACACATTGTCTTAAAACACACATTGTCTTCAAAACACACATTGTCTTAAACACACATTGTCTTCAAAACACACAATATCTTCAAAACACACAATATCTTCAAAACACAGATTGTCTGAAAATCACACATTGTCTTAAAACACATTGTCTTCAAAACACACAATGTCTTCAAAACACACATTGTCTTAAAAACACACATTGTCTGAAAAACACACATTGTCTTCAAAACACACATTGTCTTAAAAACACACATTGTCTTAAAAACACACATTGTCTTCAAAACATACATTATCTTAAAAACACACATTGTCTTAAAAACACACATTGTCTTAAAAACACACATTGTCTCACCAACACAGATTAATTAAACACCAACAATTTGTATCGATATAACAAAATAAGTTAAGCTTTAATAATAATTTCACATAATACAAAAGACTATGTTTCGGCAAATGCCCTCATCAGTACATCAAAAAGACAATCAAATAAGTGTAAATTAAATTTACATAATATACACATATATACATATATCCTACCTAAAAAGGGGGAGAAAATAGGATTGGGCGAAAAAAACACAGACAGGAACAAAGTAAAGAAAAGTGGAAAGGAAGTGATTTGAACAAAATTGTAAAACCCAAACAGGAAAAAGACATGGCAGCTTATGTAAAATTGTGGATTTGTTGTTTTTTTCCCTATGGAGACAACGAACCAAATCGTGTTAATAATTTATTCTCCATTTCTGGTTTTACAGCTAAATTGGTTTGAATTTAATGGCGAATTTTTTTGATCAGATCTGTGGCATTGCTATGGGAACAAAAATGGGACCAAGTTATGCATCTCTCTTTATGGGCCATTTGGAAAGTCTTTGATGAGAACACTACAAAGGTCCTTTCCCAGAATACTACAGGAAATACATCGATGACTGCATCGGGACACAAATATGGACATCTATTTTAAATCTTTAACGCAGTCCAACACTTTTTATCATTAGTTAATCTCACCAAAACACATCGTCTCACCAACACACATCGTCTCACCAACACACATCATCTCACCAATACACATATCTCGGGAAAAATTATTTTTTCGTTAAAAATTTGTTCCAGATAATTAGTTCAAGAATGACCAGTTTTACTAAAGATCATCTAGTCACGTGACGAAATCTTTGTTCTGATGGTGTTTTGTTTGTTGGGATGGAAGTATGTTGTATGTTGTTAGCTTTTATTTCATGCTAGGCTGCGTGGTGAAGTTGATGATATTGCTACATATATTATTTTTTTCATGGTTCCCTTAATTATAACTAAAGACAAAGTCATGACCGTTGGGTGATTGACTTATTATAGACGAAAATTAAATGAAAGATGATAAAAGATGAGGATGATTCAAGATGATAATGATGATAGAAGATGATGACAATGATACAAGATGATAAGGATGATTTCCAAAGATATTATACATTAATGTATTGATAAATTTGTTTGATACAAAACATGCTAATTTTTGTATATTTTTTAAGGAAAAAAAAAAACAATAACTGAAAACAATTCCTGGGTCTTCCATGTTTTAATTTGTATATGCCATTTTTGTATGAATAATATTTTGTTAATATGTCAGTGACGTACTTTATATTGTGATATAGAAATACATTTCTGACATGCTCTACAAGACTAACTGCTAGGATCTCATTTATCAAATTGTAGATATACCATTATAGTATTAATTTTTAAAATCTGAGACAGAGTGAATGAATTGTAAATCATACTTACTTTAAAGGTTAATACAATTTTAATCGTCCTTTACTTTAACGGTTGATGTAACTTTTGTGACATTTCGCCTGGTCAATCTTCTGTCAAACATTGCAACATCAATTAATGTGACGTCACAAATAAGAGAATTTGGACCAGCTATACCATGACCATCACTATTTTAGATTCATTTGTCTTATGACTGCGTCTTATGAATGTGTCCAATAACTTTAAACTATTTCTGTATCCTCTCATTGTATCCTATATCTGTGTACTATGAACATGTGGTATCCTATCATTGTGTCCTATATCTATGTACTATGACCATGTGGTATCCTATCAGTGTGCCCTATTTCTATGTACTATGACCATGTTGTATCTTTTAATTGTGTCCTATATCTATGTAATATGACCATGTGGTATCCTATCAGTTTGTCCTATATCTATGTGTTATGACAATATGGTATCCTCTCATTGTGTCCTGTAGCAATGTGCAATGACGTGTGTTTTACTATAATTAGCATACTATGTATTATTTGACATTTTCGTTGATGTTCTAAGAAACGCTATACAAAGAATAGAGATCATATTTTAATCTTGGATTTGCAGCGGAGGTTTTCTTTGTCAGCTCTGCTCCAGCGCCACTTCAATCTAAAGATCTCTAATTTGAACATAGTTCGTGCCAAGTATCAAACATGTGCAAGACTTTTAAAGTAGAGATAGGTGTTAATTATAAATTGTTTGACGTCATCATGCTTAAAAACAAATGTCGTCATTAGGATTATTTTAGAATCTAATCGACTCCACATTCGGTCAAGTGATGAACACTTGGGAAAAAAGTGATCTTTTTAAGTTTACAAAAAAAAAAAAAAAGAAAAAGAATTTAAAGGTCACATACCAAGAGGTATGAGAGCGTTTGTTCTCTCTGTCAATGTGCTACTTTTGTAAAACATTTCATGAATAACCAAGTTATCTGTCAATGGGCTACTTTAGTAACACAGCTTTCTAAATTACTGAGTTATCTTTTAATGTGCTACTTTTGTGACACAGTTTCATGAATAACTGAGTTTTCTTTAAAGTGTGCTACTTTTGTAAGAGAGTTTCATGAATAACTGCGAGTTTTCTTTAAATGTGCTACTTTAGTGATACAGTTTCATGAATAACTAAGTTTTCTTTAAAGTGTGCTACTTTTGTAAGAGAGTTTCATGAATAACTGCGATTTT